ATTCCCTATAACATGTGAGGTTTTCCTATTATCATCTTTTGGCACTGGTATTTCAACTTCTTATTCCTTACAAATGATTTAAGAGAAGAAGAAAAGCATTTTGATTGCAAGTGCTTCTATGCCGTGCCTGGAATTCGATGTTATCTTTTGGTTTATTATTTTTTCTAGATTAAAAAGAGAATCTCTGCAAGTGGCTTGGCAATGAAATGCACTCATAAGTCATGACCCAGTTGCTCGCTAGTTTTGTTGACACTTCGATTTATTGCAGAATGTGATTTAGGTGGTTTCCCTGCTTGGTTACTTGCTATGGACCCATCTTCAAAGCTAAGATCGTCTGATCCTACTTTTCTTCAACAGGTATGTTTTTCTTATAGAGTTCAGCCATGAAATCATGTTAGTTGTTATTTTCTAGATTTAAATATTTTATATGTCATCAAAAAGATGTGTTTTCCTTATTCATTTCATTGGTAAAACACAACTTTGTGATCCATCTTTCAAAAAAAAAAATTACTGCATGTTGTAATACCCTCAAAATTTACAAATCGATTTTTCGTAAATTATTAATTCAACAAGTTATTTTTTTAACACACACATAAAAAAATTATTTATGTATTATATCTTAACTAAATATTGCTTATGTGGTTTTAAATTCATAATTAAATACCTAACCATAATATTATTTCTAAATAACCTCAAATAATATAAATTCCTATTATTATCATTTTTTTCCTCAAAACTTAAATTCCACAATTTTTTATTATATAAAAATCAGGATGTTACAATTCTCCCCTCCTTTTAGAAATTTTGTCCTCAAAATTTAATAGATAAGCTTAGAAACTATGTACTTAAGCAAATAAATGTGGATAATCTCGCCTCATACTCTCCTCGGTCTCCCAGGTAGCATCACCTAGGGCTCCACCCTTCCAAATCACCTTCACGAGTCGAATGGTCTTATTGCACAGTTGTTTGTCCTTAAAGTCCTCAATTTGCTCCGGTTCGGATCTAAAGGTCAAATTCTCCCTTAATTCCACTTCTTCAGGTTCAATAAGATGGGAGGGATCCGAGTTGTACTTCTTCAACTGTGATACATGGAACACATTATGGATACCTGCAATCTGTGAAGGCAATGCAACTCTATATGCAGTAGATCCAATTAGCTCCAAGATCTCATACGGGCCCATAAATCTAGGTTTCAACTTTTTTTGCCTTAATGGATCTACCAATGCCTGTCACCGGAGAAACCTTCAAAAATACATGATCTCCTACTTCAAACTCTAACGACCGTCTCCTTTTATCTGCATAACTCTTCTGTCGGCTCTGAGCTGTTAGCAATTTTTGCTTAATCATTGCAATTTTCTAGGTGGTCTGCTCTACAATTTTTGGACCAATGATACTCCTCTCACTTAATTCTGTCCAACATAAAGGCAATCTACACTTCCTTCCATATAAGGCCTCATAAGGCTCCATCTCAATGCTAGAATGATAGCTGTTATTATAAACAAATTCAACTAATGGCAAATGATTATCCCAACTACCTGGTAGTTCAATGGTACAAGCTCTTAACATGTCCTCCAAAGTCTGGATCGTCCTCTCTATTTGTCCATCTGTTTGGGGGTAGTATGCGATGCTAAAACTCAGTCTGGTACCTATAGCCTTCTGTAGCGCACCCCAAAAGTTTGAAGTGAATCTTGGGTCACGATCTGACACGATTCTAGAGGGTATACCATGAAGTCTAACTATCTCTTTAATGTATATCTCAGTAAATTTTTCTAATGTAGATGTAAACTTGATTGCCAAAAAGTGAGCCGATTTGGTGAGTCGGTCCATGATTACCCAAATAGCATCCCTACCCGAGGGTGTTCTTGGCAATCCAGTGATGAAATCTATGGAAATATCATCCCATTTTCACTTTAGAATATCTAATGGTTGCAGTGTTTCAGCTAGCTTTTGATGTTCTATCTTTATCTTCTGACACGTTAAACATCTAGAAACAAATTCGGTTACATCTTTCTTCATTCCTGGCCACCACCAACCTCGCTTCAAATCATGGTACATCTTAGTCATACCGGGATGAATTGTATATTTGCTCCTATGAGTCTCTTCTAAAATGATATTCCTTAATTTTGGATCATTAGGTACACAAACTCTACCTTTATATCTCATCACTGTGTCCTTAGAGATGGTAAAATTTAGGGCCTTACTTGCCACTATCTCCTTCCTTATATTTCTCAAGTAGTCATCACTCTGCTGTGAGACTCTGAGATCTTCCCAGAATTTGCTCTCAAAGTCTGCTACCTGGAGTGCGGCCATTTGATGTTCAATCACATCTACTGGAACATCATGAAAATTATTCCACAATTGATATTCATGAACCATCAAATGTGCAGTATGAATAGTCTTCCTACTTAAGGCGTCAGCTACCACGTTAGCCTTACCCGGATGGTAATGTAATTCAAAGTCATAATCCTTTAGAAATTCCATCCATCGTCGCTGCCTCATATTAAGCTCTTTTTGATCAAATAAATACTTTAGGCTTTTATGGTCACTAAAGATTTGAAACTTAGATCCATACAAGTAGTGTCTCCATATCTTCAAAGCAAACACAACTGCAGCCAACTCTAAGTCATGTGTAGGGTAATTTTCCTCGTGTGGCCTCAACTGTCTGGAGGAATAGGCAACCACTCGATCATCTTGCATCAAAACACATCCTAAACCTTTTAAAGAAGCATCAGTGTACAGAGTGTACGGCACCACAGGGTCAGGAATAGTCAACACTGGAGTAGTGGTTAACCTCTTTTTCAATTCTTGGAAAGTAGCTTCACATTTATCAGTCCAAATAAATAGGGCATCCTTTTTAGTCAGCTTAGTTAAGGGCATCGCAATTTGTGAAAATCCCTTAATAAAGCGATGATAATAACCTGCTAAACCTAGAAAACTTCGTATCTCCGTCACAGATTTAGGCTGTTCCCACTTTATCACAGTATCAACCTTGTTAGGATCCACCGCAACTCCGTCTTTGGACACAACATGGCCTAAAAACTTTACTTCTTGGAGCCAAAATTCACACTTGCTTAATTTGGCATAAAGCTTATGTTCCCTCAAAACTTGTAAGACGATTCTTAAATGCTCGCCATGGGCCTCCTCATCTTTTGAATAAATAAGAATGTCATCAATAAACACTACTATAAACTTATCTAAATAGGGTCGAAAGATCCTATTCATATAATCCATGAATACCGCAGGAGCATTCGTAAGTCCAAATGGCATCACCATGAATCCATAATGCCCATATCTCATCCGAAATGCTATCTTAGGTATATCCTCCACTCTTACTCTCAATTGGTGGTACCCTGACCTTAAGTCAATCTTTGAGAAAACTGCGGATCCCACAAGCTGATCCAGTAAGTCATTAATTCTCGGAAGTGGATATTTGTTCTTGATGGTTACTTTGTTCAATTGTCTATAATCAATGCACAATTGAAGGCTTTCATCCTTCTTCTTCACAAAAAGAACTGGAGATCCTCAAGGTGAAACACTTGGTCTGATGAAACCCTTCTCAAGTAGCTCTTCAATTTGCCTTTTTCAGTTCTGCTAACTCTAAGGGGAACATCCGATAAAGAGCCTTAGAAATTGGTCCTGTACCGGGTACCAATTCAATTGAGAACTTTACCTCACGCTTTGGGGGTAAATCGGAGACTTCGTCTGGAAATACATCCATAAATTCTTTGACAATTGGGATATTCTTCACGTCTTCATCAATCTCAGCTTGGATAGAGAAGAAAACCATATAGGCCTGGCAACCCTTCTTCATATATCTATCAACTTGCACCGTCGACAAGAAAACATGATCTTGAGTCTCGACTGGAGTCACCGACAAAGAAGATAAAGACACACTCCTCTCTCTACAATCTAGGATAGCACCATTTGCAACCATCCAATTCATTCCCATAATTACATCCATACCTCTCAGTGGTAGGATAATAAAGTCTATAGTTATTTTCCTATTTTTAAATTCGACCACTAGGTTGAGGCATGCCTTAGCGGTCCTCACAGATTCTCCCACAGGAGTAGACACATTCATTTCAAAAGGTAAAATACACACAGGCAAATCAAGATTCTTTACATAAGTTTCAGATATAAAAGAGTATGTAGCACCTGAATCAAACAGTGCAATAATATTATGATGAAGGATTTTGATGTTACCTCTAATGGCATCTGGGGACCAGAGACAGTAGGATGCTGGGAAGGGTTCTTCATATTTGAGCCCTGGTTGTCCCCATAAAACTTTACAATGTGACCGGGTTTCCCACAAATGTAACAGACCCAGCACTGTCCGAAATAACAACGCCCGCATTTAGTGCACTGCTGAGAGCTTGTTGTACTCGGGGCAGGGGTAGATACTGTTGGGCTCCTCTGTGACCCATGATAACTACTATGATAGCTCCTCTGTCCTTGGCCCTTTTGAAATGGACCTTTCTACCTTCCTTGGTTCCATGAGCTACTCGAACCCTGATGGTTTTTCTTCATAATGCCTCCGGTGGGTCGAGGGTAGGTTGGGGGTCTACTATATGAATAACCCCTCTTCTCTCTCTCGACCTCCTTCTTACTGTGAGCTACTACTTGTAATTTTATGCATATTTCATCATAATCTCGGATATCTAGATGAGCCAATTGCTCCCTCAATTCTGGTCTAGCCTTCTCCAATAAGCGCTTGGCCTTCCATTCAGAATCATCCCTATACTGCAGGTATGTGGAGTATCTAGATAACTCCTGAAACTTAGCAATGAATGTGTCCTCATCGAGGTTCCCTTGCTTAAAGGCATGGAACTCCACTTCCTTCTCAGACCTTAACTCTGATAGGAAGTAATGCCTGAATAATTTTTCCTTGAATTCCTCCCAGGTGAGTGTAGAATCATCCCTAGGCCCTACTTGTAACATCCTAAAAATTTTAAGACTCAAATTTATTTAAAAAAAATAAACAAAAATAAAATAAAATATCTATAATTAAATTAAAATTTAGAATAATTTAATAGAGGCCCAGAGTTCGAATTTTACTAAGCAAAAGTTTGGTTTTATTTGATTTTTAACTATGGGAAAAATTACCAAAGTTGACCCGGGCTTTTGTGCAATAATAAAAAATGTTGGGCCCTTTCTTGTAATTTTCCCCAAAGTTTTTGACCAGCATTTTAAGGAGCAAACTGATGCAGAAACGCAGAGAAAATGAGAAAGGAAGCAAACGCACAAACGGGAGAGAGAGAGAGAGGAAGAAGAGAAGAGAAAGGGAGGGAGTTAGGCTTGGATCTAGGAGTCTTTGCGACCGTTGCGAGCTCGGCTACACGATAGGTAAACTCCCTACTTCAATCCTCTTCTCTTTCTCTTGATTTTCTTCAATTTTTGGAAGAGGAAATTTTTGGATTTTGATCCCAAAGGCTTTATTCTTGTAAGCTTTTGTTTCTTTGGATTCTAGGGAGCATGTTTTGAGTTTCTATATAGTGATCTAATATTTTGAGTGAATAATTGGATGAAAAGAGGTGTTTTGGGCACAAAATAAACCTTGAGAAATTGGGTTTTTGCTCCTCAATGGTTTAAGCCTATTGATTTAGTTATAATTTTGCTATTTGAGCCCAATAAGATTTAAATTAAGGTTTGGTTTTCATTATAAGGGCTAATGGTGAAAGTTGGTGGCACTAAGTAAAGGTTTTTAATTGATTAAAAAAAATTATATAAATTGAAAATTAGCCTAGTGATGGCTAATAAATGGTTTTGGTGGTTAAGTGATACTATGTGAATGGTTGGTTTAATATATGGACCATTAGGGTGGATTATGACTCATTGACCTAAGTTGTGTGGTATAAGTTATAGTCTTCATTAATACTATTTGTCATGATAAGTGATGTGGATCACTTATATGTTGTAGAAAATTGTTGGTGGAACTTATTGAGAAGTAAGGAACAAGCCGAGCCCTATTTTGTACAAGGGGAACCCTTTTAGTACCAAAGGGTTGAGGTAACAGGGGAATTTATATTTCTTATTACTTTGTTTTAGCTATTTTTGAATAAATATTACTAGTTATCATGCATTACATGTTTTAAAAGATTAAATGTGCTTTATAAGGGGTTATGGGGTACTACTTTGATTATAGTGCAAATATGTTTTCTAATTGTTTAATAACAATGTTTTTATGGAAATGAGATTTATAAATATTATACTACTTTAGAGTGTTGAATGGTCAATACTCAGGAAAGGTAGACAAGAGTAAAAGGCATGATCTCGGTGGGAGTTCACCAATGAGAAGGTGTGGATTTTTGATATTCTATGGCACACTGTCAGTACTCAGTGTTGTCTTACGTATTGTGGGCTCAGTGCACTAAAGTGGTTAGTGTATTGAGTGTTCGACACCTCTCAGTGGGGGAGGGAATCCGACATATGAAGTGTGAGGTTGAGTGCCTAGGCCAAGGTAGCCCTCACATGGAGAGTAAGTCGGGCTGGCTCTGGGAGGGAGTTAGCTTTGACTGCTCAGGATTCACGTCGAAGGGGCATAGGCGGTTCGGTGGATTAGATCATGCCTTAGATTATGTTTTGTGCCTGTGGAGGTACAAGTAGGTATAAGGTTTACCTGCGAGTTAAAGAGTGCCAGGGGGCATTCTGTTGGTCATGAAAGGCCATACCGGCCTAGGTCATGCATTCATGCATTTTAAATGGCTAAATTATATACTATGTTGAATTTATTATTCATTTATTTAATTATGGCTTACTTTGTAATAATCAATATAGATTTCACTGTTACTGAGACTGTGGTTGTCTCACCCCTTTCTTTTCAATATTCTAGGTCCAGGCGAAGGATCCAGTGGTGGACGGGGAAAAGAGCAAAGCTAGGGGTTTGCTTGTGATTTGTAAAGAACTGCAACCCCTTTCTTTTGAGCAAATATATTGTAATGTATTTAAGATTAGGGTGCCAGTAGGATATGATTATGTGTGTGTGTGTGAATATGTGTGGATTGTGTGCTTGTGTATGAATTTTTGTCTGTTTGCAGACTTGTGGCTAGGAAACTTGGTTATGGTGTGTGGTTTTGATGGATTTACTTAGTAGACCAAGTTTCTATTACAAGCAGATCTTTATTTTGATATATATGTGATTTTATAAGCAAATGCAAAGTGGTTGCATTGCAAATGGTGTGCTATGGGAAAACATACAGCTTGGATAGAGAGAGTGGGTGCGTGGGCCCCACAAGGAGCTCTGAGCCAAGTGAAAATGTTTAGCATATGTATTTATATAAATACATGGTATTTGGATTGATTTGTGACCACTCTTGTATGATTTGTGCATTTTGGGGGTTTAGGGTCCATTTTAGGAAATGGCACCCGGGTGGTCAAATTTTGATGTATGGGGGTTTTCCATCATTTGAATGTTCTATCAAGTGTTTTTAATCTTATTTGACGTGTCCAAAGTGTTTCCACAGGTTTGTGACCATTAGGATGGGATTTGGACAATTTTGAAAATGGTTTTTACCAAAAAGCTGCACTTTTGCATCCGGGTGTCCAAATCTTAATCCGACCGTTGGATTTCTCTAAAATTTGGGTCACAAGTAAAACCTTTTATAAGCTTCGTGTGGGCTTTGGAATCACGTCGATCGGATATCGGACGGAGAAACGACGCACTCCGGAATTTGGTCTGGAGGTGCTGTCATGACAGCATTAAATTGCTGTCATGACAGCTACAGTGTTGATTTTGTAACCTGCACAAAATTCAATCCGTCCGTTGGATCTTTTCAAAATTTAGTATGCTAATAGTATTCTTTAAAAGTGACATGTGGGCTTTGGAATCACTCCGATCGGAGGTCAGATGATGAAATGGTGCACTCCGGAAGTTGGTCCGGAAGTGCTGTCATGACAGCTTTTTAGCTGTCATGACAGCAAAAATAGTCAATCTTTTAACATGTCTAATTTTTAATCCGACCGTTGGATCTTTTTGAAATTTGGTACACTTATAGTACCCTTTGAATGTGACGTGTGAGCTTTAAAATCACTTCAATCGGAGGTCGAATGACGGAACACCGCCTCCTGGAAGTTGGCCCAGGAGGGCTGTCATGACAGCAATAAATTACTGTCATGACAGCATCTTTTTATTCCATTTTTGTCTAACTTGCTTCCGTGCGCTATAGGTAGAACCTATAATTATTTTTAAAGTTTTAAATGATTTATTTCTTAAGTTGGTTAGAGGATCAACTCCTTAACCACACTTAGTTTGTTTGAATTATGTGATTTTTGGATAACACTCAAGGCAAGTGTTACATTTGGTATCAGTTTTAGGTTTATGATTCCTTTTTCCTACTTGGCACCTTAAATACATTACTTTTATGCTCTTTCCCTTCTACCACTAACCTGGACTAATATGGTTTTTCTTTCTCTGGCTTGTTCCTTTAGGAGGGGAGAAAGGTCCGTACGCTTGTAGCCGTACACCTTTCAGTTCTAATATGGCTCGAAGGGGAAGGGGTAGATCGAGGAATGAGGAACGACCACCACCTCTACCTCCTCCGCCTCCACCTCCGCCTCCACCTCCACCACCACCACAGGGGACAGATGCAGTCATGGCTAGGCTGCTTGAAGTTATGGTGGATATACAGCAAAATCTTAGAAGTCATACTGTTCCAGATCAGCATGTTGACCTAAGTGCTGGGCAGGGATCTTCTAGTACTATGGGAGCTCATGCACCAGTTGTTAATAATCGAGAATGACATATCTGAAACTTGGAAGGAATTCTCTCGCTCTAATCCGACTACATATGATGGTAGTATGCTTGATGGGAAAGCTGAAGAGTGGTTGGATCGGATGGAGCAGTTATTTACTGTTGTGAGGTGTACATCTGAGCAGAAGGTTATCTTGGCTACGATGCAGCTTGTTGGTGAAGCCAAGCATTGGTGGGATTCTGTTAAGCCCACAGATGGAAGATCTATGTCTTGGGATGAATTTAAAGAAAGATTTTATGATTTTCACTTTCCGCCAGCTTTCAGAGATGAGAAAGAGGCAGAGTTTCATGCATTTCAGCAGGGGGACTTAGACGAGGAGACTTTTATAAGAAAATTCAATCAGCTGTCTAAGTTCTCAACATATCTGAAGGCTTCTAATGATAGCAAGTGGAAAGCAAAGAGGTTATTAGAAAAGATGAGGCCAGAATACCGCCAGCAGCTATCTTTGTTAGGCGAGGCGACATATGATGAGATGTGCAATCGTCTGAGGATTGCCGCTCGTCGAGGCCGAGACACAGAGAGTAGCCGGAGTAGGGATACACGAGGTCGATTTTCTTTTGGGTTAGCTCCTACTGGTGGTGTATCCAAGAGAATGGGTTTTAGCTCTGGTTCTTCTTCTAGTGGCTCCTTTAGAATCAGGTCTTCTTCTGCTTCTGGTAATCGAAATTTAAATAGGGGTTCAAGATTTCAAGGTAATCGGGGTGGTAATATGAGATCTGGGGGTTCTCGTTTCTCTGGGAATGCTCCAGCACGTTCTTCACAAACCAGTCAAGCCCCAATTCTAAGCACAGCGAGGTCACCTTGCAATAGATGTGGTAGGGTTCATTTTGGTCGCTGCTTTGCTTGTTACAAGTGTGGAAAGTTAGGCCATTTGATCCGTGACTGCCCTGATTTACATGAGAGCTCGGACCGGAGGAACGTGATTCCTGGTAGAGTGTATACAGTATCTCAGGAGGAGGCTAGGAAGTCATCGAATCTAATCACTGGTATGGTTTCTATCTGTGGCCTCGATTTAGAAGCTTTGTTTGATTGTGGTGCGACGCATTCTTTTATTTCTGCCGAGCGCTTAGATAGAATGGCTATGCCTGTTGACCAGTTGCCCCATGATATAGAAGTTTCCTCTACTTCTGGTTTAGTTGGTCGATCCAGTGTGGTGTGTAGGACTAAGATGACTTTTAATGGGCGATCGACTTGGGTGAATATGATCAAATTACCTATGCAAGGGATTGATTTAATTATTGGTATGGATTGGTTGACAGCTTATGGTGCTGTCTTAGATTGTGTGGCTAAGACAGTGACTTTGGTAGAAGTACCGGAGGTGATCAAAGAATACCCTGGTCATTCTTGTTTTCTTTCTTCTTTACAAGTTGAAAGGTTGATTGAGCAGGATGTGAGGCTTACGTGGTAGTGCTCGCTACCCAAGGGTCTGAGACAGGTATAGTGGATGAAATTGAGGTTGTTAGGGAGTTCCCAGAGGTGTTTTCTGAGGATGTATCAGGATTACCTCCAGAACGTGAGGTTGAATTCTCAATTGACTTGGTACCGGGGACTCAGCCAATTTCAAAGGCTCCCTATAGAATGGCTCCTTCAGAGTTAGCTGAGTTGAAGAAGCAACTTGAGGAGCTGTTAGATAAGGGATTTATTAGACCTAGTGTTTCTCCTTGGGGATCTCCTGTCTTATTTGTGAAGAAGAAGGATGGTAGTTTAAGATTGTGTATCGATTACAGGCAGTTGAATAAGGTTACGGTGAAGAACAAGTACCCACTGCCTCGCATCGATGATCTCTTAGATCAGTTGGTTGGTGCCACGATTTTCTCTAAAATTGATTTACGTTCAGGGTACCATCAGCTAAGAGTTAGTGAGAAGGATGTGGCAAAGACTGCTTTCAGGACTCGATATGGTCATTATGAGTTTTTGGTTATGCCATTCGGGCTGACTAATGCGCCTGCGGTTTTCATGGACTATATGAACCGCATTTTTCGACCTTTCTTGGATCAGTTTGTGGTAGTTTTTATTGACGATATACTGATCTACTCTAAAGATGAGGAGCAGCATGCCAGACACTTGAGGACTGTCCTAAGGTTTCTGCGAGATCATAAGCTATATGCCAAGCTCAGTAAGTGCGAGTTTTGGATGAGAGAGGTTAGGTTCTTGGGACATATCGTGTCGGCAAATGGTATTGCAGTTGATCCATATAAAGTTGAAGCAGTCATGCAATGGGAGAGACCAAAATCGATAACTGAGATCCGTAGTTTTCTGGGATTAGCAGGTTACTACCGGCGTTTTATCAAAGGTTTCTCTCAGATTTCTATGCCTTTGACTAGACTCACAAGGAAGGATAGGCCATTTATCTGGGATGATAAGTGCGAGACAGCTTTTCTTGAGTTGAAAGAAAGGTTAACAACAGCTCCAGTATTGGTGATTTCGGATCCTCAAAAGCCCTATGATGTGTATACTGATGCCTCTCATAAGGGTCTTGGTTGTGTTCTAATGCAAGATGAGAGAGCAGTGGCATATGCATCTAGACAACTTAGACCGCATGAGGAGAATTATCCAACACATGATCTCGAGTTGGCTGCGGTGGTCTTTGCGTTAAAGATCTGGCGTCATTATCTTTATGGAACAGAGTTCAGGGTCATGAGCGACCATAAAAGTCTCAAGTACCTGGTAGGATCAAAAAGAGCTGAATATGAGACAGAGACGTTGGATGGAGTTTCTTAAAGATTATAATTTTGAATTTAAGTATCATCCGGGGAAAGCAAATGTGGTAGCAGATGCTCTTAGTCGCAAGACCTTACATGTAGCCTATTTAATGGTTCGGGAGCATAGATTGATGGAATCTTTGGTTGAAATTTTTTTGGGTATGACTAAGTTCTCTTTGAATGGTCTTAATACTATGGTTATTTCTAATGAATTTTGGAAAGAGATACGAGATGCTCAGCTTCAAGATCCGATTTTGTCAAAAATAAGTCAAGACATCGAGAATGGTGAGATAATGGACTATTGGTTTAGTGATGATGGGTATGTGGTTTTCAAGGATAGGGTGTGTATTCCTAACAATGAGTCTATTCGGAAGAAATTGTTGGATGAGGCACATCGAAGTAGCTACACCCTTCATCCCGGTGCTACTAAGATGTATCATGACATGCAGCGTCATTGGTGGTGGCCAGGCATGAAAAAGGATGTCACAGAGTATGTTAGTAAGTGTTTGACCTGTCAGAAGGTCAAAATAGAGCACCAAAAGCCATCAGGGTTATTACAGCCTTTGGAGATTCCTAAATGGAAATGGGAGAGTATTTCAATGGATTTTGTATCTGGTTTGCCGAGGACCCAGGCTAGTTTTGACTCTATCTGGGTAATTGTAGATCGTTTGACTAAGTCAGCACATTTCTTACCGGTCAAGACCACCTATACGGTTGATAGGTATGCTGAGATCTACATTAAGGAGATTGTGCGACTACATGGGGTACCGAGGGATATTGTTTCAGACCGTGATCCTCGGTTTACATCGAATTTATGGCAAGCTATGCAAAGGGCTATGGGTACAGATCTGAAATTTAGTACGTCTTATCATCCACAAACGGATGGACAAACTGAGCGGACGATCCAGACATTAGAGGATATGTTGAGGTCATGTGCCCTAGAGCTTCAGGGAAGCTGGGATAAGCATTTACCTCTGGCAGAGTTTGCTTATAATAACAGTTATCATGCCAGTATTCAAATGGCTCCTTATGAAGCATTGTATGGAAGACGATGCAGATCGCCTCTTTGTTGGTATGAGTTGAGTGAGAGGACAATGATGGGACCGGATGTGGTAGATGAGACCACAGAGAAAATCAAATTGATCCAACAAAAACTTCTTACAGCACAGAGTAGACAGAAAAGTTATGCAGATAATCGTCGTAAGGACTTGTCTTTTGAGATTGGGGATCATGTCTTCCTCAAAGTTTCCCCATTGACAGGCGTTGGACGCTCAATTCGGGCTAAAAAGTTATCTCCTCGATATATGGGTCCTTTTGAGGTTTTGAAGAAAGTTGGGCCGGTGGCTTATCAGTTGGCATTACCGCCTCAGTTAGCGGGTCTACACAACGTGTTTCATGTGTCACAATTGAAGAAGTACCAGCCAGACCCGTCGCATGTGATAGAACCTGAGGAGGTTGAAATTCAAGAGAATTTAACCTACCGGACTGAACCAGATCGTATTGTGGATGCTAAGGATAAGCAACTCAGAATAAAACAATCCGGTAAAAGTGATTTGGAAAGGAGCTCGGGAGAGCAACCTGGGAGACTGAGGATCAATGAGGAAGGAATATCCACAGCCTAGGAGATGGAAGGGAGAAGGGAAAAGAAGGAGATGGAATGCGAGAGAGAAAATGAAGATAGAATATATATGTGTTTATTTGTTTATTATTTATTTTAGTTAATGAATTTTTTGACAAAATAAAGAGAGAATGTAACATCCTAAAAATTTTAAGACTCAAATTTATTAAAAAAAATAAACAAAAAAAAATAAAATATCTATAATTAAATTAAAATTAGAATAATTTAATAGAGGCCCAGAGTTTGAATTTTACTAAGCAAAAGTTTGGTTTTATTTGATTTTTAACTATGGGAAAAATTACCAAAGTTGACCCGGGCTTTTGTGCAATAATAAAAAATGTTGGGCCCTTTCTTGTAATTTTCCCCAAAGTTTTTGACCAGCATTTTAAGAGCAAACTGATGCAGAAACGCAGAGAAAATGAGAAAGGAAGCAAACGCACAAAGGGAGAGAGAGAGAGAGAGAGGAAGAAGAGAAGAGAAAGGGAGGGAGTTAGGCTTGGATCTAGGAGTCTTTGCGACCGTTGCGAGCTCGGCTACACGATAGGTAAACTCCCTACTTCAATCCTCTTCTCTTTCTCTTGATTTTCTTCAATTTTTGGAAGAGGAAATTTTTGGATTTTGATCCCAAAGGCTTTATTCTTGTAAGCTTTTGTTTCTTTGGATTCTAG